CTTCCTTCCTTCCTTCCTTTCTTTCTTTCTATCTTTCTTTCTTTCTTCTTCCTTTCCTTCTCCCTCCCTCTTTCTTTCTTGTTTCTTCCTTACCTTCTCACTCTTTCTTTTTTCTTTCTTTCCTTTCCTTTCCTACTCTTTCTTTCCTTCTTCTTCCTTTCCTTCCCCCTCCCTCTTTCTTTCTTCCTTACCTTCTCACTCTTTCTTTTTTCTTCCTTTCCTTTCCTTCCCTTCCCTATTCTTTCCTTCCTTCCTTCCTTCCTTCCTTCCTTCCTTCCTTCCTTCCTTCCTTCCTTCCTTCCTTCCTTCCTTCCTTCTTTCTTTCTTTCTTTCTTTCTTTCTTTCTTTCTTTCTTTCTTTCTTTCTTTCTTTCTTTCTTTCATCTTTCTTTCTATCTATCTATCTATCTTTCTTGTGTTTTGCAGAAAGGTTGACCTTCTCTTCTGTGGGAAAGCCCCCCAAATATTGAAACCCTGCTATCGCGTCACCACCTAGTCCTTCTTTTCATTCAACTGGACGTACCCAATTCCTACAACCGGTCTTTTTTATATTTTAGCCTCCTGTTGCTCTTGACTGCACACTTCCTACAGTTTCAACATCTTTTTTTATTATTATTATATGGTGGCAGTTAAAACTGGATGCAATATACCAAGCATGGCCTTGTAAAGGGATGCTCACACTTCCTATCATCTGCATTTTATACTCCTGGATACCCGGAGATCAAATTAATTGCAATTGCTGCGCCGTTTTCGTAGGCAGCCAGAGAGGATCAAGTATCCCATTGCCATGTTTCTTGGTCTTGTTTAATTTCCCAGGGATTTCCCCCCCCTCCCCACACCCTCCAAATTCCCCCCCCAAAATTCGGACTCTGCTAAGGTTCTCACCCCCCCCAAAAAAATCATCCTTAATTTGCAAGCATCCACTGAACGAGCGAGCGCACAAACAGTTGCAACAGTGCTGGGTAAAACTGACTCGCAAGCCATTTACAACTGTTGTAGCGTTGTCACCGTTCGTATGCGATCCAGATTTGAACCCTGGGCAGCCGGTTGGCATTTTATGACGTTGTAGCATTTCTGGCAGGGGGGGGGGTGTCATGGGATTAACTGTTTGCGAGCCACCTCCCCCCCCCCAGCCGGCTTCCAATGAGGAGAGTCCAGAGAGAGGCTGGATTTGCTTAACGACGATGTGATTAAGTTAATGGCTGCAGAGATTCACTTAGCAACCATGGGGGAAAGGGGTTGTGGCCTGGGGGGACCCCGGCCCCTCCGGCAGCTAAATCAGAGGAGGAGGAGGAGGAGGAGGAAGAAGAGGAGGAGGAGGAAGAAGAGGAGGAGGAGGAAGAAGAAGAGGAAGAGGAGGAAGAAGATGAAGAGGAGGAGGAAGAAGAGGAGGAGGAAGAGGAGGAGGAAGAAAAGAGGAGGAGGAAGAAGAAGAGGAGGAGGAGGAAGAAGATGAAGAGGAGGAGGAGGAGAAGAAGAGGAGGAGAAGAAGAGGAGGAGGAAGAAGAGGAAGAGGAGGCGGAGGAGGAAGAAGATGAAGAGGAGGAGGAGGAAGAGGAGGAGGAAGAGGAGGAGGAAGAAAAGAGGAGGAAGAAGAAGAGGAGGAGGAGGAAGAAGATGAAGAGGAGGAGGAAGATGAAGAGGAGGAGGAAGAGGAGGAAGAGGAGGAAGAGGAGGAGGAAGAGAAGAGGAGGAGGAGGAAGAAGAGGAAGAGGAGGAAGAAGATGAAGAGGAGGAGGAGGAAGA